TACTCAGGGACAGACAGAATTGTTACTGAGTGCCAGAGAATTGTTACTCAGGGACAGACAGAATTGTTACGGAGTGCCAGAGAATTGTTACTCAGGGCCACAGAAACTTTACTTAGGGCCACAGAATTTTTTACTCAGGGACAGACAGAATTGTTACTGAGTGCCAGAGAATTGTTACTCAGGGACAGACAGAATTGTTACGGAGTGCCAGAGAATTGTTTACTCAGGGCCACAGAAACTTTACTTAGGGCCACAGAATTTTTACTCAGGGACAGACAGAATTGTTACTGAGTGCCAGATAATTGTTACTTCAGGGCCACAGAAACGTTATTAGGGCCACAGAATTGTTACTCAGGGACAGACAGAAATTGTTACTGAGTGCCAGAGAATTGTTACTTAGGGCCACAGAATTGTTTACTTAGGGCCACAGAATTGTTACTCAGGGACAGACACAGAATTGTTACTGAGGGCCACAGAACTGTTACTTAGGGCCACAGAATTGTTACTCGCACAGCCACAGAATTGTTACTCAAGGGACCACAGAAACTTGTTACTTAGGGCCACAGAATTGTTACTCGCCACAGACACAGAATTGTTACAACAGGGCCACAGAATTGTTACTGTGTCTCAGGGCCACAGACACCGTTACTTAGGTGCCACAGAATTGTTACTCAGGCACAGACACAGAATTGTTACTCGCACAGAGGGTGCTGGCAGATTACGGGCCCCCACAGCTGCTGCCAGGCCCCTAATCTGCCATGGGCCCCTATATACCGCCTCCTCATGCTGAGTGCCAGGAATGTCCTGAGTGGCTCATGCCTCAGTTACATGTGCCACTTTCAGGTCTCCTCACACACTGCTGGTGTGTTGAAATTTTTTGACATAGGGTGCTGGCAGATTATGGGCCTCCTATAGCTGCTGCCAGGCCCCTAATCTGCCATAGGCCCCTATATATACCGCCTCCTCATGCTGCTGCCAGGTCCAGAGTCTCTCATGGGTCCCTGTACGGCCTCCCATTGCTGCTGTCTCCATCGCCACACTCTGCCATGTGCCACTTTCAGGTCTCCTCACTCACACTGCTGGTGTGAATTTTAATTTTTTGACATAGGGTGCTGGCAGATTACGGGCCTCCCATAGCTGCTGCCAGGCCCCTAATCTGCCATGGGCCCCTATATACCTCCCCTCCTCATGCTGCTGCCAGGTCCAGAGTCTCTCATGGGTCCCTGTACGGCCTCCCATTGCTGCTGTCTCCATCGCCACACTCTGCCATGTGCCACTTTCAGGTCTCCTCACACACTGCTGGTGTGTAGAAATTTTTTGACATAGGGTGCTGGCAGATTACGGGCCTCCCATAGCTGCTGCCAGGCCCCTAATCTGCCATAGGCCCCTATATACCGCCTCCTCATGCTGCTGCCAGGTCCAGAGTGTCCATGGGTCCCTGTACGGCCTCCCATTGCTGCTGTCTCCATCGCCACACTGCCATGTGCCACTTTCAGGTCTCCTCACACACTGCTGGTGTGTAGAATTTTTTGACATAGGGTGCTGGCAGATTACGGCCTCCCATAGCTGCTGCCAGGCCCCTAATCTGCCATAGGCCCCTATATACCGCCTCCTCATGCTGCTGCCAGGTCCAGAGTCTCTCATGGGTCCCTGTACGGCCTCCCATTGCTGCTGTCTCCATCGCCACACTCTGCCATGTGCCACTTTCAGGTCTCCTCACACACTGCTGGTGTGTTAGAATTTTTTGACATAGGGTGCTGGCAGATTACGGGCCTCCCATAGCTGCTGCCAGGCCCCTAATCTGCCATAGGCCCCTATATACCGCCTCCTCATGCTGCTGCCAGGTCCAGAGTCTGTCATGGGTCCCTGTACGGCTCCCCCATTGCTGCTGTCTCCATCGCCACACTCTGCCATGTGCCACTTTCAGGTCTCCTCACACACTGCTGGTGTGTTGAATTTTTTTGACATAGGGTGCTGGCAGATTACGGCCTCCCATAGCTGCTGCCAGGCCCCTAATCTGCCATGGGCCCCTATATACCGCCTCCTCATGCTGCTGCCAGGTCCAGAGTCTGTCATGGGTCCCTGTACGGCGGCCTCCCATTGCTGCTGTCTCCATCGCCACACTCTGCCATGTGCCACTTTCAGGTCTCCTCACACACTGGTGGTGTGTAGAATTTTTTGACATAGGGTGCTGGCAGATTACGGGCCTCCCATAGCTGCTGCCAGGCCCCTAATCTGCCATGGCCCCTATATACCGCCTCCTCATGCTGCTGCCAGGTCCAGAGTCTCTCATGGGTCCCTGTACGGCCTCCCATTGCTGCTGTCTCCATCGCCATCTGCCATGTGCCACTTTCAGGTCTCCTCACACACTGCTGGTGTGTTGAATTTTTTTGACATAGGGTGCTGGCAGATTACGGGCCTCCCATAGCTGCTGCCAGGCCCCTAATCTGCCATAGGCCCCTATATACCCGCCTCCTCATGCTGCTGCCAGGTCCAGAGT